TTTCCTTACATCTGACGACTCCCTCACGTCCCTAGAAGACCTTGATCTCCTCATCACATACCCCAGCACATCCTGGAACTCAATAGAAATCACAACATCACAACCAGATCCCACCTTAACCAAATCTGCAGATCTGTAGAATTGATAATTTTCGACGATGAAGACGAGGTCACTACTTACAGACGATGAAGATGGCGACCGAAGAGGAGAGTCAACTGTCGCCATGCGTGAAAGAGAGGAAATTGAGAAAGAGAATGAGAGAGTCGAGTAGAGAGATGGGGGGTATTGAGACTGAAATTGTTATAATTAGGGTTTGTTTAATTAATTTTTAAATATATTGATTAATTAGAAAAATTCTGATTTGTGAAATATTAAACATGACATCTTATTTATGAAATGAAAATTTTTAATTTATTACAATATGTAATTTCCACTTAGATTTAACTTGATTTCAATTAAAAGTCCAATTTAATTCCAAGCAAGAATCCAACTAAGGCCCACTTAATTTAATATTTTCTTCAAGTCATCCAATCCTCCAAATTAATGCCATGTAATCCTTTAATTCGTCAATTGCGTAAACTTTGATACCCAAAACTTGTATCCAATGGCCAATTGATCTTTATTTCTTTTCCAAGTTACTTCAAACGAGTAGAACATTGAAATAAAAGAAAAATAACTCAAAATAAATTTAAAATCACTAATTTGACGACATATAAGTTTAGTAATGTGGCATAAATAAGTGCACAAAATGCACTTATCACCCTGCCCCATTTATTCATTCTTTTTATTTTTTATTTATTTTATTTTTCCTATTATTTTTTTTATGTCCTTAGTTAGTAAATGTTATTACTTTTTTTTTTTTATCAATTTGTTAAAAATAAATTATTTTCTCTTTAAAAATGATGATAAATCTATTATTTTTGTTTGCTAAACACTTAAATTTGAAATTAACTTTAAACTGACGAGGGTAGTAGGCGGGGACCATGTTTCTCATATCTACCCTATACCCGCTTTGAGGCAATGACCCTCGTCCCATACTCTCATTTACCCGGTTTGGCAGGTAATCCTCGCCCCATTCAGGGCGAGGCCCACGAGTATCGGGTTAAACAAATTTTTTTGTCATCCCTAAGTTCAGTAACTAATAGAATATGACAACTGAGTGATGAAGTGGAACATGATAAATTTCAATTACTGATCAAAAGTATTTTAAAAGTTCAGTGATTAATTAAACATTGTAAATTAATGATGAAGTGTAATGTGTTAAAGTTCAATGACCACTCAAATGCATTTAAAGTTTAGTTAATAAAACATGATGGATATATAAGTTCAGTGACTAATGAAACATTTAACTCCAGTCTAAATGTAGAGAAGAGGAATGGATCTCCATGATCCAACGTTCGACAACATCTACATTGTCTTCAATGGAGGTTCAGTTATGAGTTTCTTGATGAAGAAGCAAAGTCATCAAAGATACACATTTGGCCGCATCAAAGATGCAATCATGGAGAGCTCAAAAGAATTCGATCCAAATTTCTCGAGCATGGATTTCAAGTTTCAATTAACATGCTTCCGGATGAAGAGATGTTTTTGACTTCCCATTCATCAACATCCCCAAACGACCACCTATTGACATATGGTCGACCTAATCTTCAATGTTTTGATCATAACAAATAAGATTATTTTTATTTCTAACAAATTTTTTTAGTAATGATAGTTCAATGTTTAAATCAATCATATATTATCGGACTTCAAATGAAGATCAAAGTAGAAGCTATGTATTCAAGTCAAATCATTCGAAACAAAAAGCTTAAAAGATAAATGTCAAAAAAGATCAAGATCAAGAGTATGAGAGACGACATCGAAGAAAGATCAAGACGAGACAAACTTCGAAGTAAAGACTTGATTTTTTAGACAAAATGTGAAGGTACTAATGCTTTGATATTTGACAAAAAATAGTTAAGCTCAAAATCTTGCCATGTATTAAAAACAATTTTTGTGTACTAAAATCATTTGAATGCAATCTTTTTTATCAAACATAAAAATGACTTTTAAAAATGATATATGGACTTTAAAGACATTTTTAGCCCCTGTTTGATCCCCCCTTTTTTTTTCTTTTTTTTTATTATCTATAATGCATTTTTCCATCACATCAACATGGGACCTACACACCATTGTTCATTGCAAATTTGAATTCAAGAGGCATAAAAGTTCAACTTTATTCTTAGTATCAAAGCAATTCAAAAAGTTCCCAAAAATCTGTTGAAAAGTCAAAGGGCAGACAATGGAAAAGAGAGAGCCATTTTCTCGGTGCAAGTTACATAGGCTATCAGAACAATAATTGGCAACGTCCGAAAATTAATCTTTGACCGAAATTAATGGCCCCCAAACAGCCCCTTATTATGAAAATTTAGTTAAAAATATTATTCAAAAGTCCATTCACTTTAAAACTTTCAAATCGGAACAAACGAGGCCAAAACTTAAGAAGACCGCACTGCCGGGGCGGTCAATCGCCTGGCGAGGTGGTCAACCGAACTCCCTCCAACGGTCCGAAATTTGATCGTTCTGACTTCTGATTTTAATTGTACAAATAGCTATATTGGTCTTCCGGAGAAAAGGCGGTCGACCAGACGAGTCATCCACAAATTCAGATTTTTTAACGTTTTGGACTCTATAAATATCTCAACCTCTTGCATTCATTTCATCACTTTTAAGAGTATTAAATTGAGATACTTTCAAGCTTTAACTTTTATTCTCCAATCTTTATTTATCTCTATTTATTCATACACTTTTGGAAAACTATTGATTGAGTTTACTTTTAAAAATCATTTCATTTATCAAAGTTTTTCAAACCTAACACTTGAGCTTTACTTTTTGTCATTCATTAAAGTGTTAGCCTACTTCTCTCCATTGTACTCAACTTTGAATATATCTTTTTTGTGGGAGAATATTCTTTTTTGTAAAATTTACTTTTAATTGAATTGTGAGTCGTATTGAGGTCCTGGAAAGTTCAACGATTGTAAAAGGATCGGTACTCCTTGATTGTAAGTTATCGAAAGCATTATAAGGGTTAAATTGCACCATAAGTCAATCAATATATTGAAAAGGGCTTTTCTCGTGACAGAGAGTTTGGTAACAGAGGACATGGACAGGTTGAATTGGATTGAACCTTTTATTAAATCATTTGCATTCTCTATCCCTTTTACTTATTAGTTTTACATTTCTTTCATTATTCAATTTCATATTTGTGTAATAGATATATCTAGAATTAATTTTCGAAAAAGTTTTAAAAACTAATTCACCCCCTCTTGGTTAGTCAATCTTTGGCTTTCACCACCCACACCTATTTCCATTTCATCTTCGTAGCTGACGCCACTCGAATTGATTAAGGTTCGGGGTTAAAACACCACCTTGGATTAAACTTGAGGCCATTTGGTTGTGATGGTGGTGAGATTTGGTAGGGTGATAGAATGGAAATTTGTGTTTGAATTGGGTTCAATTGTTGGAGGCAATGTTTCAATTATACAAAATTGTGTATGAATTGGGTGATGATGCAATCGTTGTAGATGATTGCATGGAGGAAAAATCAAGGTTGAAATTGTATATGACTGTGATTTAAAATGGTGTGGTGGATTGGTGATGGTGTGGAAAACTGTGTGTGAATTGGGTTCAATTATGGGAAACTTTGAGTGAATTGGGTGATGGTGAGGTGGTTACGAATGGTAGTGTAGAAGAAACGAACGACGAAAATTTTTATGTGATTGTGACTATGATTGTGATTGAGAGAGAAAAGGTGAGTAAGGTGATGTAAGAAGAATAGTGATTGTGATCAGTTAATTATAAATATTTAGCAATCTATTAATTGTATGACTTGCGACTTCATATTTGATTACGATCCATATTTTATGGCATATGTGACTATGATCTATAAACTTGTGTGATTAGTGACTTATTATGAATGTGTGACCATATAATGTGTTAATGGTGTTATATCTGATTGTGACTTATTTAATTTAAATTATAGGTCACAAAAGTTTATCCGAAATAAAAAAATGAGATTATATGATTTTTAAAATTTTTTAGTTTGTTGATTTTGAATTTGTATTTTTAAATGATTAATTTCACAAACGGTCATTGAACTTACAGAAAAATTACAAAACGGTCACTAAAGTTTAAAACTTTCAGTAACGGTCAATTAAATATTGGGACGCTTTAAAAAATGATCACTGAAGTTTAAAAAATTTTGAGCTACTTTTGCGGCAAATTTTCGACCACTTCCAACCACCGATACCACTGGATTTTGATACCGTTGAAAAGCCTACAATGTCCTTTTCAATTACAACAAAAAATCTCCCCCCAAACTCCAAAAGATTCGTCCGGAATAAACCCACAAAGTTGGCTACCTGAAAAAGCAAAAATCTGCCCAAATTTTCAGATTTCTTGGGGCGATTTTTGCGGTGATTTTTCGGTCGAATTCTTTGGTGTTACGGAGAGATTTTGAGTGGTAATTGAAGAGAACGTTGTGGGCTTTCCAACAGTATCAAAATTCGATAGTATCGGTGGTTGGAAGTAGCCGAAAAATTACTGCAAATGTAACCAAAGAAGCTAAAAAGTATTTTTCAACTTCAGTGACCATTTCAGAAACTTTTTAAATTTCAGTGACTGTTTTTTAAAGCGTCCCAATACTTAAGTGACCGTTAGTGAAAGATTTAAATTTCAGTAATCATTTTGTAATTTTTTTGTAAGTTCAATGACCGTTTGTGAAATTAACCCTATTTTTAAATGTTTGTAGTTATACGATTTATAGAAGGGGATGTGAGGCGGTGGGCTCTTTGTAGATATAAGAATTCCCCCCCCCCCCCACCCCCCCACCAAATTTTTTAACTCATGCTGGACTCAAGTTTAAATTGGACGCAGATGAAGGCCCATTTTTCATACGAGATAGGTGGGCTTTCACGTATGAGATGGATCGAGGAAACTTATAAACAAAAACCCACAGTTCTAGGGTTTTTACGGTAGAGAGTCTAAGGTGTTGCTGAGAAGTAGTGAGGGGCAGCACAACCGGCGGCATAAGAGGCGGCGGGAAGAGTCAATTCACAGACACCAAACTGTAACATGGTTTGTAGATTTGCTCTTAACATATCAGTTACCGACAATTTTGAATTGTAATTTAGGATGTGTATAGGTGGAATTCATCGATTTCATTGAACAATATTCTCTTGTAATCTGGGGTGTGTACCTTGCAAAAGTTAAGCTGTAGATCTACAGCATTTTTATAAGTTTCACGTAATGTGCGAAATTTGACATATTTGTATGTAAAATTCAATGTGTGCATACATTTATGTGATGCACCCTTGTGCCTTCGATAGATGCAGTTGGGAAATTTTGGTTGTAGACTAGCAGCTTGTAGATTAATTTGCACAATTTCAATTCAGCAGTGTTCATAATCTCCTTTTATATTTGTTCGTGGCCATAATATATAAACGGTGATTTAGATTGGACTTTCAGTATAACACATGTATTACCTGAGGATGACCCAAATTTTACGTTCATTCTTTTTCCCATACAGTATATATCTGAAGTTCGAAAGAAAAATGTCTTGAAATAACGTAAACCATTCCTACGAGTTCTCATATTTCGTATTAATGTTTTGTGTAAGGTGTACGTGCTTAGTGGGCACCTTTCTTTCGATTCTCCTTTTTCTACTCATGTTCCTTTTCTATTTGCTTCAAAAACTGTTTTACTTCTGACTGGAACTAGAACATTAGAATCTGAGCTGTCTATAAATGATCAAACCCGATGACCCATTAAACCAAAAGAACTGTACCCCTATGCAAGGAAAAGCAGCTATCTCCATCAGCCCATATTTTGGCCTTCAAAACATAAAATTTCTTATTGACCCATTTGGAAATATCGAACTGCCCACTAAACATTGAACAAATTTGTTTTTCATAGACCCATTTGGGAATATTCCACTGTCCCTACCAACTACAGAATAGTTCTTATTTTTCTTTTGTTTGCTAACACACTTTAAATTGTTCTATTATTATGAATTTTGAAGGTTGTTTATGGTGTATTATGAGCTAATTTGTATTTTGACATTTGTTTTGTTTTGTGTGATGCTTACACCTCGAGAGTTGTGCCTCACCTCATTAAGGAAGTATGTCTCAATACCAGATTAAGCCTTTTTAAACATTGGATTTGTCTAGAATCAAACAATCGAATGATTATTTTCATGTTTGTGTAATTAGATGCCTATCTTTAGATCCCAACGCTTTACAATTTAACAGTCTTGTACAGTTGTTGGGATTCTGAAATTTTTTATTATTTTATGTGCTTTTTTTTTTTCTTTGAGAAATTGAAAATGATTATTATGTAATGCTAGCTTCACCTTGGAGAACCAGTGAGCAATGTTGTTACTTTGGACTGGGTTTTTTATCAGTCAATATGCTTGTGAATAATCTTTACTTGTGCTTGTATAGGCGAGAGGATTGAAGAAACATTTGAAGAGGCTCAATGCCCCAAAGCATTGGATGCTTGACAAGCTTGGTGGAGCATTTGTAAGTTATTCATTGTAAAGGATTGAGTTTTGTTCTTGCAAATTATTTCCTTGTATTTTACCATGCATATGCTGTGACATAGGCTCCCAAGCCATCTTCAGGGCCACATAAGTCCAGGGAGTGCCTGCCGTTGATCCTTATTATGAGAAACAGGTTGAAGTATGCACTGACATACCGAGAAGTTATTGCCATTTTGATGCAACGGCATGTTTTGGTCGATGGCAAGGTCAGAACAGATAAGACTTATCCTGCTGGCTTCATGGGTATGTATGCTGTTCATGTTTCTTTCTTATTACATGGTTAAGTACTGATGCCTAATCAGTGGAGTAATTCTTGTATAACTTCATTTCCAGATGTTGTCTCAATCCCTAAAACAAATGAAAACTTCCGTCTGCTCTATGACACCAAGGGCAGATTTCGTCTCCACTCAGTCAGGGATGAAGAGGCAAAGGTTGGTTGAATTGCCTTTATGTTTGATTTCCAGCTACTTTGGGAAAATTATGTGTCAGTCTCTGAAATTGCATTCATATTTAGTTTAGTTATTTGGAAAGTGCTTGGCTATTAGTTTTTCATACATGCAGTTGCCACGCTCCAAGGAAGCATTTGTTTTATGTTGAACTTAGTTACATTTTCTTGTATATAGTGTCTACTCTGAAAATTTTGACATTTCTGAGTCTCTCACAATGTTGTATACCTCCTGCCAGTTTAAGCTTTGCAAGGTCCGATCTGTCCAATTTGGGAAGAAGGGAATACCATACCTCAATACTTATGATGGGAGAACCATCCGTTATCCAGATCCTCTTATAAAGGCCAATGATAGCGTCAAGTTGGATTTGGAGACAAACAAGATTGTTGATTTCATTAAATTCGATGTTGGGAATGTTGTAATGGTGACTGGTGGCAGAAACAGGGGACGGGTTGGAGTCATTAAGAACAGGGAAAAACATAAGGGTAGCTTCGAAACCATTCACGTCCAGGATGCACTTGGCCATGAGTTTGCTACTCGCCTGGGAAATGTTTTCACGATAGGTAAAGGTACAAAGCCTTGGGTGTCTCTACCAAAGGGGAAAGGCATCAAATTGTCCATCATCGAAGAGGCAAGAAAGAGGCTTGCTGTGCAATCAGCTACAACTGTTTAATGGCGTTCACCTCCAAGGACACGTTCAATCGAATCTAGATTTGGATGTACGTACTTATTTCGTTGGATTTCAATTTTCTTTTGACTTTAACACATTTTAATTTTTTGACGAGCTTTAATATTTGAGGAACCATATGAGCTTATTTTCAGTTATTCATATCAAGCTTTCTTGGAATTAGACTTAAAGCAGGAAACATGTATCAAGCTTAGAAACAGACGTCTAGATTGGAAATATGATGTTCGAAATAACATGTTGACCACTGAAATATATGCTGAAAGAATACCAAATTAGGAATCTGAGCATAATGAGGGGAAATATGACTTCCGAAATAACATGTTGACTGCCTATTTCCCTACACCAGTCTAGTCTTAATTTGCACAGATGGAAATTAGACACAGGAATTTTGCATAAATTTGCTTGTTCTGTCATCCTTAACCCTGTTTTTAGACTTGTTTCACGTAGTTCTTGCACTTTCATGTCTTTGTGATCTCCCATTTGAGAACACAAATGCATTTTTTCTTTTTTTGTTCTTTCGTCGAGACATAGCTCGATCACATTGCATCATGTGAAACTGGCCATTCCAGGTTGTCTGGGTAGAGTCTTGCTGAGCATGCCAAGCAGAAGGGCCAAACTGTATCTTATTTCTTGTTTAATTTTTTTTATAAGGCTCGTCTCGACTGCCTGTCCACCTTTACACTTCTATTTATGGTTCAGGTGATCTCTTCCTCAGATTCTGCAAATAAGTGTTCATGTAGAGATGCGGTCTTCCTATTCAACACATTTTTCAGATTTATTAGTACATGTGTTTTCTCATGCCCAGCAGATAGTTCAGTCCATATGAATTTTAGAAACATCATGCTGACGTTTTAAAATTTTATGTGTCATAGAGGCTGGATAAATGTAAATCTGAAATATTTTGTGCCCTTTGATTAAGAATAAGATTTATTATAATCAAATTCTATCATGAAATTTTGACTTACCATGGAGGTAAAAAAATTTATTGCAAAAATATATGAACGATTTTAGTAAATTTGTAATTTGTAATTCTGAAAGTCTCTCATAAATTAAGATGCAATATTATTTTAGCCTTGTTTGTCATCCTTTAACAAATTAAGGGCTTGTTTGAGCCACATTATTTCAAAAAAATGCATTCTTAAACTGATTTGATATTATTTCAACCATACATTTTTTAATAAAATAATATTACACGCAAATAAAAAAAAATTTCTTATTTTTTAATCACTTATTTTTCATTAATACGCTATTCAAGAATGCATTATGACCAAAATGATGTTGCTCCAATACCCTCTAAATTATTTGCTACAGTAACTTTTTTCACCACACGTTCATACAATAAATTATTTTATATACAAACCAATAAAAAAATTTTAAATTTCAACCACTCATTCAGTCATTCTCTAAATTATTCAAAACTCTCTATTTTCTCTTATAAAGGAAGACAAACAAGCTCTTTACTAAAAATTAACTAATATAAACTTTATTTTATGATGAAATTTTGTATTTCTCAATGATAATAAAACGAGAAATATAAAATCTGAGGGAATTGACGATGGAATTTGGAATTGAATGGTTATATTGTTATCACAATTTTTATTTATACCATATTTTAATTATTATTAAGCTCATCAATCTTTGCTCGTTATAGTAATTATTTTCTTAATTATTTTCGTTGAATTCTTATCATCAACCAACCATTAATTAATATACTAAATCCTTGTCGATGATTTATGTCAATATTTTGTTTTCATACTTTGAAATGAGAGAAAAATATATTTTTTATACTTTTTATTTTTTCGGAATATGATGGAAAAATAAGTTATTTCAATTGAGTTTTTGGACATAAACTGTTATCAAATATAAAATGTATTAACTAATGGAGTTTGACGATAAGACTATCATGAAAAATCATTAGGGCATAAATGCTATAATGATAAAAATTGAGAACCTTAAGTGTAATTAAAATGTGGTGTAAGAAACAAGATTTGTAGTGTAAATATAGCCCCTTATTGATTTGATTTAGTTACTTTACTTTAATTTGTTTAGCATACTTATTTTCAACAATATATTTACACAATAAAATATTTTATACGTAAAGTCAAAAATTTTTCCTAATTTTTGACCAAGTATTCTTCCAAAATATTATTCAAAACATAGTCTTTCTTGAAATAAAAGCCACCAAACAGGGGCATAATTACCCTTTGTAGCTATATTTTCGTTCAAAACTACTTCCTTCGTTACTAGAAATTTAAAAATATGAATTTATGATTATTCTGGTTGCAAATTAATTGACTAATTTCAACACTGAATAAATTTGTTCCCCGTTTCATAGCTAGTAGCCTAATAGTGACGAAAAAGTTCTATCAATTATTTTCTGTCACTTTCGAAGTGTTTCCCAATAGTGAATTTATTGGATTGAGGTCCCGACATTAGAGGCTAATATACAATATGATAAAAGGTTTGAAATGGATGTTTAATTTTTACCCACCAGGCGACTTGACTTTTGCTCGAGGGTAGTGTCGGGTAAGTAGGCAGCAAATTGATTGTGAATTTAGAGATTTAAGATTGATTAGACCCACCTCTTTATAAGGGTTAATATGACTCGAGTGATCGTATCGTGCATTATAGTCTAATACATTGAGAATTTAGAAATCTAAGATGACTCTGTATGTCCATTGTTTGGTGTAGATCAAGTCCTTGTTTTATAACCATAAAAATAAGTTTTTTTTTTTTTTTTTTTTGAGAAAAATAAATTTTGTAATAGTGAATTTGTTGGATTGAGGTCCCAACATTAGAGTTACTATGCAATACGATGGAAGGTTTGAAGTGGATGTTTACTTTTTACCCACCTGGTCGGCTTGACTTTTGCTCGAGGGTAGTGTCAGGCAAGTAGGCAGCAAATTGATTGTGAATTTAGAGATTTAAGATTGATTAGACCCACCTCTTTATAAGGTTAATAACTTAATATGACTCGTGTGATCGTGTTGTGCATTATAGTCTAACACGTTGCGAATTTAGAAATCTAAGACGACTCTCTATGTCCATTGTTTGGTGTAGATCAAGTCCCTGTTTTATAACCATAAAAATAAGGTTGTTTTTTTTTTTTTTATATAAAAATAAATTTTGTAATAGTGAATTTATTTTCTTGAGGTCCCGATATTAGATGTTAATATACAATATGATAAAAGGTTTGAAGTGGAAGTTTATTTTTTACCCACCCGGTCGACTTGACTTTTGCTCGAGGGTAGTGTAGGTCAAGTAGGCAGCAAATTGATTGTGAATTTAGAGATTTAAGATTGATTAGACCCACCTTTGCATGAGGATAATATGACTCGTGTGATCGTGTTGTGCATTATAGTTTAACACGTTGCGAATTTAGAAATCTAAGACAACTCTCTATGTCCATTGTTCGGTGCAGATCAAGTCGCTGTTTTATAACCATAAAAATAAGTTTT